GTGACCATAGGTGGAAATTAACGGGAGAATATTTTAAAATGGATTTGAGAAAGCACTTTTTTACACAGCCTGTAGTTATATTATGGAATAGTCTCCCTGTTAGTGAAGCGCAAGCTAAAACCCTGGGTTCCTTTAAATCAGAGATAGATAAGATTTTAACAACTCTGAGCTATTAGTTGAGTTCTCCCCAAATGAGCTTTATGGCCCAAATGACCATCCTCTTGTTTGTACATTTCTTATGTTCTTATGTTTTATACCCTTGACAATGAGTTAAGGATGGGGCAAAATTAAGGTCAGTTTTGAATAATTGAGTCTGGCAAGGAATTTTTAAAATGCTGCAAATGAATCATCTGCAAAAATACAGCAGGACAGATACAAATACCAGTTGGGTTGATATGTCAGAAAGCCAAAGATGAACCTCTCCACTGTTCGTCTGCCTGCTACCTTTCAGCACAGACACAGGTACAGCAGGAAAGAAATGGGACTCAACAAAGACGAAAATGAAGTCCAGGAGATCTTCCAGCGCACGATGAGGAACCGCCTGGAGTCCTTCAAATCTACTAAGATGGGCGTCACCCAAAGCAAGAAGATCAAACCAGCCAAGAAGGATCAGGTACAGAATTCTGGCCAGTTACTCCCTACAGCTCATGCTTGCATGCGAGAGGTTACCCTTCGCGTGTGACTGTGTTACTCCTCATTCTGTCCAGATACCGAACGGAAAACACAAAACCCATTCATTTGAAGACGCAGGTAATTATAGCATAACCTTGCTTTGTGACATTTTGGCATTCAACACTCTGGATAACTACCATTGAGTACTAAGACATTCAGCACACTATAATTAGTAGCTGTTCAGTACTGTCCTCTCATTTGCAAAATCACACTTATGGAACATTAGCAACATTACAGTGACTGAACGATGCAATTTTCTTCACTTGTTTCTCCACTTGCCATCAGACTTCTCAGATGACAATGTCTTCTCCTCTGACTTTGCGGGTGGTGTAGCATCTGGGGGTGGAGGTCCCACAAGACTCTCCATTCGATCTGGAGGTAAGCATGGCTTTAGCAGCAGTGATGGACCAGAAAATAAGACAAAGGTTCATTGTGTGTGTCCAAGGTGCACTAGAAAGCCAGATGGGGCTTGAAAACCAATTAAGGATCTCACATCACAATCAGACGTTTCTTACAATTGAAGACTGATTTCACAAATCCTTTAAATTCTACATTATGTACATTAATTTTATTCTGAAGTAATTCCCACACTTAATAGAATAAGCTTAATAGAAGCTTAATAGAAGCTTAATAGAATAACGTATAGAACCTGCAGAGTTCTATAAGTGTCATTGACCAAACTAGTCACTTATTAGTCAGACAGCTTTGTCTCAGGTCTCTAAGTCTACTGGTCCGTTTAGCCGGCAGTGCTACTCACCACACAAGCAATTACTCTTCATTTCCAGCTGGCACGTTTTATTTCTGCGAACATGTGACCTGATCCCTGTACTCTGATAGGTGGGATAGAGAACCCAGCCTTCATGCCAGACGTGGATCATGCGTCCCCCCTGCACACGCCGCCATGGTCGGCCGTGGTAGATGACGGGGTGGCCCCCTCCCAGAGAGCTCAGGTGCAGCTGCCCTGGTCGCCCAGCAACGCCAGCCGCCTGACGCCGCTCCGCATCAGCACCCGTTCTAATGATTCCTTCATCTTGGCGGACAGACCCACAGCGCAGGGGGAGCAGCCCCCTCCCAGCCAGCCGAAAAGCACACCGAAATAGCCCTAGTGTGGCATACGGCCCCCCGCCCCTCACTTGCAGCCTATGCCATTTCCAGTGGCAGAAAGCTGAGACGCCTTAACCTGAACCACCAGAACAAGGACATGAAGGAAATGGGAGAAGAGGAAGTGTGTACGTGTGGCTGTGTGTTAAATAGATATGTATATGTGGATGTGTATATATAAAATTTCCTTTGTAGTTTCACAAAATATGGTAATTTAGTTTATATTTAATGTTCATTTTTAAGGATACTTACTACCAAATGATTTGTTAGTGGTACGACCTCCTCTGTTCTCAGGCTGCACAATGAGGTTCCGTTCCACAGGCTGTAATTTCGCCCGGTATCTACAGCAGTTCCATTACACTGCAGCAGCATTCACAGGGCTTCCATTGATCTTATCCTTTAAATATGCACTTGATTGGAAGGACGCGCGATGATGCTGCCCGATTACTACTTCAGAATCACATTTGGGGGACAGAGGCATTAGGCTTAGGAAATGGTTCGCTGCTGTAAAGCACTATTTTAAGCACTGAGATGAAGTTGTTGTTTGATGTCCATTAAAGAAATATTTTATTTATTCACCAGTATTTGTCCTCTTTAGAGACATATATAGAGAAAAGTACTGTGGGTTGTACATATCTGGACAAAGAGAGGGCATCCAGTCAGCTCAGCTCCTCTTACTCAGCCAGCTTTTGAAGAACAAATGCAATCACTAGGTTTCCCCCGGCGACAAAATTTAAAGCAACGGACACCATATTTTTCATAATATTATATTGCAAATTTAATTAAACAAATAAAATAAATAATATTGGTAAGATACCAGTAATGTTGGTATATCAAAGGCATGATCAAAAAGCAAAGACAAAATTACTGCAATTTAACCTGATCTGTAGTAATAATAACAATAATAATGATGATTTTTTTTTTTTAATTTATGGTCGCTGGTACAGTTCTATATAAAAATGGCCTTGAAAATAAAATGACACTATAGAATAATATTTCTATATGTCACCCTGCAATACAAAGTTTTACATAATTGGCCCCAATCCTTTGAATGAAATCACACATAAGGAAGTTCCCTGTCATTTAACAGAAGATTCACTTGCTTGGATCTTGGGCTTATACTTTTCTGCAGGCACTTGTCCTCCGTAACACTCCCCCTGTCACTGAGGCCTGGCCTTCTTGCTTCTGGGGCTCAACACTTCCGAGGCCTTTCACCAGAAACACAGCCGTCACATTTAAGACATCAATCACCTTTTTCCAAATGTTAGCACCTTTAAGGAGCCCACTCCTGCATCTATACCTGATTTTCAGATGTGGAGCTCTGGCATTTTTACACTGGCAACAGATCTACAGAAATCTGATGTAGGCAGTCACAAAGATCTTAGCGTTATGCTGCTATGTCTTAGCACTTCACCTGTCGTTTTCGTGTCACCCGAAAGAAGTCCTCCATGCGAGTCTGCTGATGCTGACCCGTCTTCCTCTCCTCTTCACGAGCTTTCCTCCTTGCTTGGAGCATCTGATGGAACTTCTCCATCCGTCCTCGGACCCTGGACTCCCTAGGAAGAGCAGTGAAATCTGGCTTTCCTATACTGTTTATACTTGTTGCATCTTGCTTTATGGGCCGGGGCAGGACCTACTTTATGTGCTTCTCATGGCACAAGAACCGGACCAGCTCATCCTCGTTGGGCTCGGTCCAAATAAGATCTGACTGATTACACTGCAGTGGCTCTAAGAAGAGTCTACGTGCTTCCTTGTAGGTCCATCTAACAGGGACAGGATGAGTCTAAGAGAAATCAGAAATCAGAAGGTCACAGTGGAAATCGGGACAATGACACAGCAGATACCATCAAGCTGACAAACGAAAGTCATGTAAATTATTTATTGTAACTGCACACTCTATTCTGGCACACGATTAGATATTCTGCTTGATGAAGATTTAAACTATTATGCTATTACATAATAATACTAACTGGAATGATTTCTCTGGGTGCGCAGGACATGAAGTACAGAACTAAATGGACATTTGCACAATAAACAAAATGTTTACTCAGTCATATGAGACTCACCGTAAATCTATAAATGATGTCTTCTATTGTATTGATGGCCGAGGCACTGCCTGAAACACTGTTATCATAATCTGCTGTCACAGTGTGGCTTTTAGCTAACTAGTCTGTGTGCTGAAGGCCTCTGTTTTTGCAGCCCATAAATGAAAGAAATTAATTTAAAGAAGCCAATATGGAAAACTCATTTACTAATAAAACTGTAATAGGTGAATGCAAGCGTTACAGTAATAGCAGTATTTAGAAAGTAGGATAGTTTCCAATTGTAAATACTTTAGGTTCAGAAAGAATGACCCCCTGAATAGGACAAGTGGAGATGGATGGATGGATGGATGGATGGATGGATGAAAGAATGAGAATATGGCCCAGTAGGTCCAGGGGAATTCTTTCTAGCAAGTCAGTGTGCTGGTAGGACAATACTACAGCTCACCCGTCTATTGATATGAAGCACCACCTCTTCTATGGTCTTGTGCTGCTGGATTAGTTTCAGTGCCCTTTTAGGCCCGAGGCCCTGGATCTTTTCACAGTAGTCACACCCCAGGAGGATGCACAGGTCGACAAACTACATAAAGGGAATGTGAAACTAGTTCCGGGGAAGATAATCAAAGAAAGACAAGTTCCTGATCTAGTTTTTTTGCAGTTGACAGATGACAAGCACTTCTGTGACAAATTAAACCTCTAAGGAAGGGTCTATAAAAAGATTGAGAAGAGAATAAAAACTCACCTCTTTGTGGGTCAACTGGAGAACATCCAATAGCTTAGAGAGACAATATTCCACAACATCACTGGAAATGACCAAAAGAGATAAAAACAGATCAAATCAATTTGTACACTTGCACTGTAAAATCATTTTATTCCAACACTGACCATCACATACAGAACTTATGTAACAGTTAAGTTAACCAACAAATGCTGAACCAATTCTACACCACAGAACAAATTAACAGGACACAAATGTAATCTACATTTCCTTACCTGTCCTTCTTGGCATCAAACTGGCGGATGAGAAGTTCACTGCCAAAAGGCATGGTATCCATGTCCTCTGATGCCACAGCATCAACTTTCCCCTGCTTCACCAGCTGGGCACAGAACGCTTCCCCATCCCCCGGGGCCTGGCAAGCCCAAGAGGTCAGGATCACTTCACTGCGCTTTTTAAATTACCACTAGCAATATCAGATAGTACTGTAGAAATACACGACCACATGGAAATAAGCGGACTTGGAAAGAAGGCGGTGAAACAACATCATTAAATAGACCTTGGAAGGAAAAACAAGAGGACCCAAACTAAGTGGTGATGATGGCATGTTACCATCATTCCTTGTAATGGAGGGACTGACCTGGATGTAAGGGACACCCAAGAGCTCTAAGATGCGCTTACAGTCCTGGATGCGAGGGGAGTCTATGGAGAAAAGCACAAGGCCTGAGACCAGTGAAGATTCTACAACAAGGCCATCCGTCATTCCTGAACACAATGACTTATTGATTAAAAACTGACTGGAAAAAAAATTGATTAAAATGCCACATGACTGACTTTTTGTCTTGTGTCTGGATGATGACTGGATATCTACACTATATGGTCAAAGGTATGTGGACCAGCTTGTCCAAAGCATCCATCCATCCATCCATCCATTTGTCTGTTTGTCCTATTCAGGGTCACAAGGGGTCTGAAGCCTACTGCAAAAGCTATGGGCGCAAGCCAGGGAATTACCCAGGATGGGGTGCCAACCCATCACAGGGCACATACACCATTCAATGGTATATCCTGCTAACTCCAATTCATCTTTGCATGCTTTTGGACGGTGGGGGGAAACCAGAGTACCCAGAGGAAACCCTACGATGACATGGGGAGAACAAGCAAATTCCTCATACATGGGGAATTGGTGGAGACTCGACTCTCAGTCCCAGGGGTGTGAGGCAACAGTGCTAAACACTGTACAACCACTGCCCCCATTTTAAAACCAAGGGTATTAATATGAAGTGTCGGCCCACTGTTATTAAAATAGGCTTTAGTCTTCTGGGAAAGCTTTACATTAGATGTCGGAACATTGCTAGTGGGATTTGCTGTCATTCCGGTTGGCTATTGGGACCTGATCGGCCAGCATCATTCGGTGAGCTTGGGCTGCCCACCACTTCACTATGGACTTACTCCCAGTCGTTTTGACCTTTACAATCACCTCAGTTGCAGCTGACCAGGGCAGCTCCAGCAGGGCAGAGATGTGGTCACCTGAATTTTTGGACAGATGGTGTCCTATGATGGTGCCAAGTGGAAAGTCACCAACATCTTCAATGCAACCAGCGGTTCTGTTGCTGATATTTGTTGCAGGAGACTGCATGGCCGTCTGGACCACAATCCTCTTTGTGGGAGGCCATAGTTCTATCCACTGAGATACTCAGGGCAATGTGATGCTCTGAGGATTAGACCTCTGTGTCTTCATGTGTCCCAGAAGGTTGCCAGTTTAAATCCCGTGGTCGGCCCTAGGGTTGGGCCCTAGAGCAAGACCCTTAACCACAATTGCTCCAGACACTGGCTAACCCTCCTTTCACAAATATATGTCACTTCAGATAAATAAAGGTACTGATTATGCCCTCAACCAATATCAAAAATGACAGAAAACAAAAATCACAGGTTGAGTGGATGTGGCCTTATCCTACAGAAAGTGTCGATGCACTGAATGCAGTCTCAGTATCTCTCACCTTTGCCAGAAATATAGAAACTTGAACGACCAGCAGCCTTCGCTCTTTTCTGCAGCTGTGGAAACAATCTCTTAATAAGTCTCATCAGATTAAGAAGAGTCATTAATTATGGAGAGTTATTATGTCTCTTGTGAACCTAGAATGTCAGGTAATTGTTTTACTGTTGATCTGGATATGTGATGGAAAGTGAAGCTTGGTTTTAAAAAAGAAAGGTTAACTGATTATGTCAGACACGATGAGCTTGTCTAGTGGAAGACATGGAAACACGCGAGTGCCTTTCATTAGGGACTCCGGGCTGAGGGTATGTCTCCCATCCTCACCTCAGTCTTCTTCTGCTCAGGCGGAAGTCCATCAAACACGAAGACAGGCTTGATGTCATGCTCCAGGAAGTGCAGTGTACGAAAGAATAGACCAGTAAGGGCACTGCAAAAGGAATTAAGACTATGTTAGCCTTTAGAACAACATCACAACACTCCAGATCAAACTAATAACAATGCTGCAGAAGAATATGAAACGCCTTTGGAATTTTTCTGTACACATTTTCATAAATTTCATCTGCATGCCACATATCTGTTATCTGAGTACAAAACTGTGCTCCAAATTATATATTATATGCAGCACATATGATTATATGCTGACCAAGTAACATGAAATAAACCGTAAAACACAGAAACCTCACCTCATGCGGAAATTGGGGACAGCAGAGCGAAACTGATTCAGTACGATTGATACATCCAGAGCAACAATTTTGCCTGTGACAAAAAGACACAGTTATTAGCTACTGCAGAAAAAATAGCCTAATCCTATAGGAAAATTCAGA